GCAGATGTGAAATCCACCGGAGCTGGCTCTGCCACGGGCACCTCACCCTGTTTCTCAATAATGGGATTCTCTGTTGGACCCACTGGCGGCATAACTGGAACAGTCCTGGGACGTCCTCGCCCTCTACCACGGGCTGGAGCCCTCCCTCGGCCTCTGCCTCGGCTTCTAGCAACTGGGGGAGTAGCTCTTCCCTGGTCTGGAACCTCATTCGAGCGCGTTCTCACCATCTGTGAGAGAATGAGAGACGGATATTTAGTACTACATTAATTGCACGATGGAATATGAAGAAAGGTAGTTTCCTAACACCCTATAGCCTCTCGAAGATAAGTACAGACATCTCCGTACTGATCCGCAAGACTCTATTAAGTCTGCTCATAACTTGTGAGACCTACGTGAACCTAATGCTCTAATACCATGTTGTCATGACCCAATTTCACCTAAAGGTCATGATGACGCCCAACACTACATCTAGGCAAGCCAACTAGTAAATTTAACATATATTGACTAAACTTTTAAATCCAAGAAAAATAATAAAACATCAAATTCTACCAATGTGTGTGCCAAGACCTGAGCATCTAGTAGATTATACAAAACCTCTAATACTGTTTGAAATAAAATAGACAGAATAAAAATACAAGGAGAGACACTAGTAGCTGCAGAACGGCTCAGAAAGACAGCTCACCACTATGCCCCTGGATAACGTGAGTGTAAGACGATAGATCCCACACTAGTACTTGCCTCAGGTCCTGCACAAAAAGTACAGCAAGTGTAGTATGAGTACGTAAACAACGTGTACCCAGTAAGTATCAAGCCTAATCTCGAAGTGGTAGAGACGAGATGGCCGACTTTGACACTCACTATGGGTCAATAATAATANGTGCAGCTCACCACTATGCCCCTGGATAACGTGAGTGTAAGACGATAGATCCCCCACTAGTACTTGCCTCAGGTCCTGCACAAAAAGTACAGCAAGTGTAGTATGAGTACGTAAACAACGTGTACCCAGTAAGTATCAAGCCTAATCTCGAAGTGGTAGAGACGAGATGGCCGACTTTTACACTCACTATAGGTCAATAATAATAATTGAAATCAACTAGAATATCTAAATCAACATGATTTACAAAATTTACAATAATTTATTTAACCAGCAGAAATAATCAAATTCCTTCAAATGCAACAATTCTCAATATATTAATTAAATTCCTTCAATTCAAATAATTTTCAATTTATCAATTAATCTCATTTACATGAATAACAATTAATTCCTTAACAAGCAGGAATAATAATTCATTAAATTTCAAGGATTCTCTAATTTATCAATTAGCTTCGCAAGCTGAAATAAACTATTAAAATATCGTGTAATTATTATTATTAAGCATGATTTCTGCCGAGGACGTACGGTCCGATCCAGAGTGTCGTGTACACTGCCGAAGGACGTGCGGCACGATCCATAGATGCATCTATCCTGCCGAGGCGTTCGGCCCGCTCCACAAAAAAGGACATTTTCTTATGTACCTCCGAAAGGAGAGTATATTTATTATAAGATAAATTCGGGAGGAAGAACAATTTCTCTTAACAATTAATTAATTTAAACAGAAAATCAAGCATATGAGATTTCCATCCTTTAATATTTTTATCTAACAATTCACAATATATTCATATATATCAATTAATATTAATTAAACAAAGAATACAATTTACTCAAGTAATTCATACTTTGAGTCCTAAACTACCCGGACTTTAGCATTTATAGTAGCTACGCACGGACTCTCGTCACCTCTTGCGTACGTAGCCCCCGCAATTAGTAACAATTAATTAATTTAATCCCTATGGGGTAATTTTCCCCTCACAAGATTAGACAAGAGACTTACTTTATCTCAAAGTCCACTTTTCGATTACTGCGTCGCGTAAAATTCTCGATTGGACGCCAACAAATCTAAAACTATCCAAATATTATACAAAATAATTAATATATGCTCAATAATTCGAAATTCACATATTAACTAAATTATCCTATCCAAAATGGTAAAATTCCTAAAATTTACCCCGGGCCCACGTGCCTGGATTCCGAAAATTTTCGGATGAAAACGTTACCCATAATCTCAAGAACTCAAATATATAATTTCTATCCAATTCCATAACCATTTTCGTGGTTAAAATCTCATTTTTATAAAAATCTAGGTTTTTCACCTAAACCTTTGATTTCCAGGATTTACTAGTGTAATCTACCCATAATCTATGTATTTAACTCGAGGGGTGTAGAATTAACTTACCTTCAAATTGCTAGTTGAAACCCCCTCTCAAAAGCTCTGAAATCGCCCAAATGTGGAGAGAAAACGGGAAAAAATGGGGGATTCCCGTTCTTTTAAGCTTTCTGCCAAACAGACCTTTCGCACCTGCGGAGGTTGGAATGCACCTGCGGCTCCGCACCTGCGGAAAATCCTCGCAGGTGCGAGTTCTACTCGCCTGACCAATCCTCGCACCTGCACGTTCGCAGGTGCGCCCAATATTCCGCACCTGCGATGGCACGCCTCCCATTCCTTTTCCGCTTCTGCGAAGAAATCTCGCATTTGCGAGTGTCGCTCCTGCGAGCTTCTGTCGCACCTGCGACTGGCCAAGCACAGGTGCGATCCTGACAGTAGCTGAGAGCTTCAGATTTGGCTCTCAACTTCCAACTTGGTCCGAGCCTCGTCCGATTGACACTCGAGCCCCCGGGACCCCGCCCGAACATACCAACAAGTTTGAAATCATAAAACGGACTCGCTCGAACTCTCGGAACATGTAAAACAACATCAAATCTAAGAATCATACCCTAAACCAAATTGATTCAAACTTAAGAATTTCAAGTTCTTCAATTTACTTCCAATGCGCCGAAATATACGTAAACTACTCGGAATGACACGAAATTTTGCGTGCAAGTCTTAAATCACTATAAGGAACTATTTTCAAACTCGGAATTCCAAACGGACTTAAATTACTCAAAAACTTACTCTAAACCAAATTTAAAGAATTTTAAACCTTCAGATAGTCGATCTTTTTACTATTAAGCGTCATAACGCTCCCGGGTTATCCAAAACTCGATTCGGACATGCGCCCAAGTCCAAAATTATCATACGAACCTATTGGAACCGTCAAATCTCGATTACGGGGTCGTTTTCTCAAAATGTTACCGAAATCAAACTTGGCCATTTAAAGCCAACTGAGCTTTAACGACCGGATGACAAATCAACGAGGGGAAAATTCGGTCATAAAAGAGTAAGTATAATGACCATAAATTACGTCGTCACTAAAGAATATTTAATGACCGAACTCCAATCCGGTCGTTAATTTTTAACGACGGCGCATTTAGTGACCGGTGACGACCAGTTTTTGCCCGGTCGTTAATGACCTATAGCGACCATATTTGAGCTTTTAACGACTGGATTTTTCCTCGCTAAAAATCACTTCTCTTGTAGTGCGAGTAACTCTATCTTTGTCTTCATGGCATCGATAGTACTCAACGCCTCCATGGATCTTCACTCCAAGGCAGTGATGGTTTCCCTTAGCTCCATCTTAGTCTATGTACGTCCCTCCAAGTCATTTCAAATACTCTCAATATCCTCAAGAGTGTGTCCCTCAAGAATTCTAAGGGAGCATTCCACTTTCCCCAAGCATTAGCCAAAGATTTTTACGGCATTTATCCCCGCATTCACCTTCATAACCCACTCTTTACCGAGCGAGACGTCCTCAAGTTGGCCTCCACTTCATCCTCGCTCGCCTCAGTGGTAGATGGTTCTTGGGATGTAAGCCCTTCGTTTGACATAACCTCGGGAAACACCTCCTGGCTCTTGTTGGTGGCATTCCTCTTTTTGTTGCGGTCCTTCTTGCCAGCATTATTCTGGATGACGTTTGGGTGTTGGCTGCGTTAATTTCTTTGGTGTTCACCATTCCGTTAGTTGCAACCTTGCTCTGATACCACGTTATCACGGTCTTAGTCTTGAACTAAGAGAACGTGCGACATTTAACAACTCGCTCACGTTCTTGCGCAACTTGATCATGATCTTGCTATGCCAAGTCCGCCTAAAATACTACACTCAAATTGCTAAGGGAATGCTAGATAAGAAAGACAAAAGAATTTTGCTAAAGAAGCTTTTGTATCGTATAGAACTTGATTGTTTTGCTTGGTGAGTTACAAATTAATGACCCCTTTTATATACTAGTCTCCAAGGGGCTATTGTGTAAATATTAATTGTTGCAAAAGTCCTTTATATTTATAAGATAATGACTTTCTCTAGAATTCTTACAAAGTTAGAAGATTCCAAGGATTTTTCTAGCAAATCTATAAGGATCTTGGGCATTCCAAGGAAAATATCCATATTTCTCTAGAATCTTTTCACAAGTACTAGCTTTCCTCCTATGTAAGATTCCACATGACATCAATATATGGCAAATGACACCTATGTGGCATGATGACATAGCAAGCCTCACAACCAGGCCTAAAAACTGAAGCTTCTTGTCTCAGCTCATGGCTGCAATGACAAAACTTAGCGCTATAGTGATAACCTTGGGCAAGTATTCTCTCGATCCATTCCTTTTTCCTTCACAAAAAATCTCTGTTGCAGCATAAAGAAACGCTGCTTAAGCCCTGAACTCCTCCAACTTTTTCAACCTCCAATATTGATACTTTTAAGTATTCCCACATACTTATATGTACTTATACACTTCTAAATTATTGTGTAAATATTTTTATACACTTCCACAAAATTTCCAGGGTGATACAATCCTAACCTCAACTTGAAGACTTTTTATATTTTTTAATTTTATTTTTTCAAATGCAACTGTATTTTTACCAACATAGAACTACTATCTCTGTTAAGCAACAATAGATATATCAATTCAGCATCTATCAAATATTTGAGTCAATATCACTCTTCTGTGACAGTGTTCTTGAAGTCTCAGTCAAAAAGCAGTTAATCAGTTTACTCATTTGATTGATATAATAAAAATAAATGCTAAAAAAATATAAATGAGGATAAACTATGTTCTTATAGCGCATATTTCCAACAATATATAGATCACTAATTTTTGAAATAACAATCCTTGTTGGAACACTCCTCCAAACAAGTCTCTCTTTGCTTGTCATTTACATCAAATTTAGAACACTTACCCAAAGCACAACCAATCTTACAATAGTAAATTTGATATTGCCCATTCACATGTACAACACAGTGATTTATACAGTCGTTGAAACATTCTTGATCATTGCCACACTTTGCCTGGCATTTATGAATGCATCTTTGTACATCAGTTTCCCCTTCTGCAGCAAAAACCATCATCAATATGATTGCGATCCTCAAGCCCCGCTTCATGTTTGCTGCTTTTTCCATTTCTTGTGTAATTTATATTTCAAACTTCTTCTTGTTTTCTATTTGAGAAATTGATTTGATGGTGATGTTAATCTGTCATGTTTAAATAGAATGATATAACTGGATTATGAAAATAAGATTCTTGGAGAAAATCTAACTAATTATACACAATAATTATCATGTTACAATAAAGATTTTTTTTACTATAAAATCCACAAGAAAAAAAGTTGCTTTTTCTCTCGACGCACGTTAGGTGCTAGCTAACCTGCGCCTCCGCCGGAAATGGGAGGAAGAGGGAGATCGAAGAAAAACACCAGCAAAACACCAGTGGTAGAAAGGAAATTAACAGACATCATCACGCGAGAACAAGGAAAACAAACTGCAAAAGCTAAAAAGAAAATGCAAGAGGAAGATCTGGATCTGGAAAGTGACAATGACCTAAATTGGCCAGATTTGAGTAGCACTCGAACTAAATTGGCAACACTGGTGAGCCCAATCACTCTCTTGACGCCTAAGGTAAACTCGGGAGTGAAAGGATTAGCTGTATCGACAACCTCAATTTGTGGTGTGAGTACGAGCAAAGCACAGAGCTATGGAACAATAAATGCAAACTTGCCAAAGGAGCAGAGAAATGCTGAGATCGACAGTGAGAAGAACATGCATGATAAGAAAGCAGTACCGACTGGAAATGGGGAAAGATCCTGGGCAGGTTTGTTACATGAGAACAAATTTGCAGCAAAGGGAATGAACTTATCCTGCATTCCGCCGGTGATACAGGACGGGGAAGTTGTAGTGCAATTATTGGAAGAGTACATCGCAGAGGAGAACCAGAAGTGGAATCGAGCAATATTCTTGTACGTGGTTGGAAATACTCCAACTATTGGGGCAATTGAACGATTCATAGCAAGCCAATGGAGTAAGGCTAGAAAACCTAAGGTACTCTTCCATAATGATGGGTATTTCATAATTTTGATGAATAGTAGTGAAGAGAGGGATGAAGTGCTACGGAATGGTCTGTATACTATGAATAGCAGACCAATCATACTTAGACCGTGGACAGAAGGATTTGATTTCAATGAGGAAGTGCTTTGTAACACTCCGAAAAATTTTGAAGTATTTAAGTGTACAGCCCCGTAAAATTTCGCAAATAAATTCAAGGTTTCGTGGTGCCGGAGTAGGTATGCGTGTTTAAGAATGGGTTGAACAATGCACCAGAAAGTAAAGAAAAATTGTTGGCGGAAAAGCGCGTTTATGCTGCCCATTATGCGACCGCATAATCACTCTGCGGGCCGCATAATGGACGCAGAAGTGAGGCAGGAGATGGTTAATCTGGGAGCGATTATGCGGTCGACTATGCGACCGCATAACTGTTCTGCGGTGCATTATGCAACCGCATAACAATTATGCGGACCGTATAGTGATCGCAGACTCAGACATATTTTTTGGTCATTTTGGACACCCATTATGCGACCGATATGCGGTCCGCATAACCATTATGCGGTCGCATATGCAACCGCAGAACTTGTTCCGGAGCTCCATTTTTGGGTTTTTAAAACCCGACCCTACTTCGTCAAATACACGCTTTGGGCTATTTTTGAACAAAAATCTGATGTTTTAGAGAGAAGGGAGAGTGTTTTAGAGAGAGAGGAAACTCTAGGCTAATTATTCATCAAGTCTTGCTCAGATCATGGAAGATTAACAAGGAAAACCCACAAGATCTTCATCTAAGAGGTAAGGTTCCATACCCTAGTTTTCAATTTCGAATTTGGGTAAAAGAAAGTTGAATTGGAGTGTGATTCTTGGGTATAAGAGTATTATTTGTACATGCTTGTACTAATAAGGTTTGTGGGAAGATTCTTGAGCTCAAATAAGTAAAGAATGGGTTGTGGAGTGAAGGAAATCTTGTAGAAGAACCTTGTAGTTAAATTTGTACACCTAGTGTTCGATAAAATGCTCAAATGAGCTGAGACCATGAATATCTTCCTAATTATGGTTCAATTTTGTAATGTCTCAAAATAGATTGGGATTGCTAGAATTTTCGGAACGTTATAGTAATTTAAGGAAAGATCAAAGCGAGGTATGGTGGCTAAACTTTCTCTCTTAGAATAGATATCCATAATGTTTCCATAAGATCAAGTATGGTTTGTGTATTAAAATGTTGTGTCTTTGAGTCGTGTTTTAAATAAGAACTAGTATACCAATTGGGTGAGAAAAACTCGATATGCTTAAGGCTCATAATTGCTCATATGTGTACCTAAAGACTTGATTGGAAGTGTCTTGTTGTTGATAATCTTTAAAGATGCTTGAAAATGAAATAAGCGAATTGAAGAAATAGAGTGTGGCCAACGTGCCAAGAATTTAAGTTATGTTGTGGCTAGTAGTGCATATGATTTTAAAGGATGCGATAAATAATATGAAATGAGCCTCGACTCCACTGTTTTAAAAGTGATTTGAAAAAATAGAATTTGCCTAAGAGCTTTTATACTCAATTCATGCCCATCAGTGGCTGCTTTAACTAATGCTTTACTTGATAAATATATCCAGTGTGATTCGAGTTCTATATACTCATGTGTTGAAATTGTACATTGTCATTTTTGAGGAAGAGTATTGCAAGAATAAATGGTGTATTGATTGTTTATGATTTTTCATGTGTGTTTATATTGTTTGTTGGTAAGCCTCATTCTTTGGGAAGAAACCATTTGTGTTTGAAGTTCCCATTTCAAATGGATTTGAAGTATATGATTTCTGAAATATTCTATATGTTGATATTTGATGGTGGTCTTTGAAATTGAAAGAGGTAAAAGTGTGGAATATGAAATACGGACATCGTGCCAGGAATGAAGAATCTTGTGAATGGCCTAATGAGCCAAGGAAATATTGTCGTCGTGAATGACTGAAAATACTAATGAGAATTTATACAATGTGAAAGATGTTGAGGTGAATAGTATTTATGATATTTCTGTTTGCAAATCAAATCAAAAATATTTTTGGGAGCATCATTAGCAAAACCGAGGAAGGGTTGGTCATAAGGCCCACACCTGAAACTACACGTCCCGATGTAGGGGTAGATTAGGATTATTCCCCTTATTTGGGATGAAATTGAAACCTTTGAAAATTGTGATATTATTCCCCTTAATTGGGATAAAACTGGAACCTTTGCGGATTGGAAAAGTCAACCCACATGGCATATGTGGGAAGGCGGCCTAGCTGATCGGGTGGAGATCAGATGCCATATTGCGCATATAGTGGTACTACTCTTGGTAACAACTTTCTTTCGCATCACATATTAAACCACATTGTTCGTGGGGAGATGGCCTAGCCGATCAGGCGTGATCGGACTCCGTGCTAACAAAGATTCTGGAACTTGTTTAGCTGCATTTAACACAAAAACCTGGATCATTGATTCAGGGGCTTATGAGCATATGTATTTTGATTCAAGTTGTTTCTTAACTTTAGTTCCACTTCCTGTTCCTGTACATACTAGCCCACCTAATTCTTTTCAATTATATGTCACACACATAGGTAGTGTTCCAATTCAATCTGATATGATTCTTGAAAAGGTCCTTTATGTTCCTTCTTTTAAATATAACTTACTCTCAGTTCATAAGTTGTGTGTCCAGTCTCATTGCTCACTCAATTTGACTTCTACTGGATGCATCATACAGGTCCCTTTAATGAGGGGAAAAGCTTTTGGCGAACTAAAAGCAGGATTGTACATGTTGGAGCCTAGTACATCTAGGATAGAATCTAAGTCTAGTTTAAATGCTAATGTATTTTCAATTCCACAAGGAAGTGATTCCATTCTAGTTCCTAGTAAAGTTTCTTCTTCTGTTTCTAGTTCCAGTACTAAAATCTCTAATGCACTCCAATGGCATGCTAGATTGGGGCATTTACCATTTTCAGTAATGATAAATCTTCATTTCATTCAATTTTCTTCCAATTTCAATTATGTGTGTGATATTTGTCCAAAAGCTAGACAAACTAGACTACCCTTTCCTTTAAGTCAAATCAGAACTCATGGAATTTTTTATCTTATTCATAATGATGTCTGGGGACCATTCAGAGGTGCCACTTACAATGGATATAAATATTTTTTAACTGTGGTTGATGATTTTAGCAGAGGCACTTGGACCTTCCTTTTAAGTTCCAAAAGCAATGCTTTTACAGTACTACAATCATTTTTACTTATGGTGGAGAGACAATTTGCAAGGAAAGTTAAAAGAATCAGATCTGATAATGCAATGGAGTTAGGAAAGGGGTCTTTCCAGTCTGATTTTCTTCAGTCCCAAGGTATTTTACACGAGACTTCATGTGTAGCAACTCCGCAGCAGAATGGGGTAGTTGAAAGAAAACATAGGCACCTTTTGGAGGTGGCAAGAGGATTGTATTTTCAGTCACAAGTTCCTATTCAATACTGGGGAGAATGTGTTTTGACTGCTACCTATCTACTTAACAGGTTTTCTTCCAGAGTTCTAAAAGGGAAAACTCCTTATGAGATTTTGTTTAAGAAAAGTCCACAGTATGATCAACTCAAGTCATTTGGATATCTATGTTATGCTTCTACTCTAGCACACAATAGAAGCAACTTTGATCCCAGGGCACAAGCTTGTGTTTTCTTAGGATATGCACAACATCAAAAAGGATACAAATTGCTGGAATTACATTCTAAGAAGGTTTTTACCTCAAGAGATGTCAAGTTCCATGAATCACACTTCCCTTTTGTTTCTACTCCTTCACCTTCAACCTCAACTTTCTTTCCTCACTCATCTACCACTACTGATTCTATCTTTCCAGATTTCCTATCTCCCAACTCAACCACCACTCATCACTCACATTCACCTCTCACTCCTTCTCACAATACTACTGAGAACAACACGTTTATTCCTCCTCATAGCCCCAGAACTCTTATATCTCTTCCCAGGCTCACAATTACCCCTGCTTCTGCTTCATCTCCTACTGTTATCTCTAGACCACAACCTACCATCCCAATACCCCCACCTCCTCTCAGATTTTCTGAGAGGATTTCTCAGAATCCTACCTACCTCAATGACTATGTTTGTAACAACATCTTTTTCTCTGATCTCACCTCCTCCTGTTTCCATCATGTTTCTCATCCTAAAGTGTTTTCCTTTGGAGCTCTTTCTCTTGACAATCAGGCTATTTTTAAGTCTATCTCCACAGTTTTTCAAACCTACTAGTTATACACAAGCTTCTCAAGATCTTGGATGGAGAAAAGCTATGGAGGCTGAAATTCAAGCTCTGCAACTCAATCACACCTGTGATGTAGTTCATTTACCTCTAGGCAAGAAGGCTTTACCTTGTAAATGGATTTACAAGGTCAAACACAAGTCAGATGGGTCACTTGAAAGGTTGAAGGCCAGGTTGGTTGTCAGGGGAGACATACAAAGGGAAGGTATTGACTATTCTGAGACTTTTAGTCCAGTGGTCAAGATGACCACTATCAGATGTTTATTAACTATTGCAGTTAAGAAAGGATGGGAGATTTCACAACTAGATGTTAACAATGCATTTCTGCATGGAGATCTACAAGAAGAGGTGTATATGAAATTTCCAGCTGGTCTCACTCCCTCTAATCCTAATCAGGTGTGCTTATTGAGGAAATCACTTTATGGCCTAAAACATGCCTCAAGGCAATGGTATGCTCGACTACCAGGTGCTCTAAGCTACAAAGGCTATTCTACTTCTCTGAATGACTATTCCTTGTTCTACAAATACACAAACAAGCAGGTATCCATCATAGCAGTATATGTTGATAATATTCTAATCACAGGCAATGATGTCACAGAAAACCAACATATCACTTAATTTCTAGATTCTGAGTCTAAAGTCAATAACATGGGATACATTCACTATTTCTTAGGCATGGAAATACTCAGAGAACAACAAGGGTACATACATAGTCAGTCAACGCAAATTTACCTTGGAACTACTGGCTAAATTTGATTGTGCAGGGCCTGCTGTCACATCTCCTCTTGACCCATATTCCAAATTGTACGCTGAATTAGAACCACCCATGGCAGATCCCACTCTCTATCGACGATTGGTGGGTAAACTTAATTACCTCACCAATACCAGGCCAGATATTTGCTTTGATGTCCTTTGCCTCAGTCAATTTATGCAAAGGCCCTCTCTTTCACACTTCTCTGCTGGTCTCAGGGTACTTCGATATCTACGCTCCGACCCAGGCCAAGGAATCTTTCTTTCCTCTGCTCCCTCTTTTGATTTAATCGCCTTTTACGATGCTGACTAGGCTGCTTGTAAGGACTCTCGTCGATCCATCAGTGGCTTCTTTATTACGCTTGATGGTGCCCCTATCTCATGGAAATCATAGAAGCAGCTCTCCGTTTCCTTGTCATCCGCTGAATCTGAGTATTGATCCATGAGACGGGTGACTGCTGAAATCACTTGGCTTGTTCGACACCTTGTTGATTTATCTGTTCCTCCAACTTTGTCGGTTCCTCTGCACTATGACAGCCAGGCGGAGATTCATATCGCCCGCAATCCAGTCTTCCATGAACGAACTAAACATGTAGAGCTGGATTGCCATTTCGTTCGACAACAATTTTTTGCTGGTTTGATCTCTCTGTCGTTTGTCCCCTCCAAATCCCAAATCGCAGATCTTTTTACCAAATCGTTGACTGGGGTTTCTCACACCAACATCATGAGCAAGCTGGGGGTTTTATCTCTCCCCTCCAGCTTGAGGGGGGATGATGAAGATAAGCGAGTCTTGCGAGTCTTTGATGACCATTTTCACACAGAAAAGAGAAGAGACGAGAAAGAAGAAAGAAGCTCTCAGACAAACACTAAGGTTTCTTTGGACTTCTCTATGCTAAAAGTCCCTAAGTGTGTTGTATTGTTTTTGTCTCAGCCTTACACGTGGAAAGATCATGGAGGCTCATAATCCCTCATCCTCATCCGTCTGGATCTATATCAAACAGTTGTATATAATGAAATTTCTAGGAAGCTAAGCTCACATGCTTCTCACGTGAGGGCACATGGCAAAGAATAAATTTAGTTTTTCTGTTACACAGTAGACAATAGGAGTAGTACAAGTGTATAGGAATATTCTTTATTTGTTATTTTACAATAGGATAATTCTGTATATATAGACATCTACAGTATCAATACAAAGTAGAGAAAATTTCTTCAATTTGTTCTTCTTTTTCTATCATGCACATATATCGAAGCGGTGTCACGTGACACCACTTCGTCAAATTGTTTTATTAAATATATATATTAATACTGTGAGCAAACGAATAAGTAGGTAAGTAGGAAAAAAATGACACAACTTGACATAAATTATCTCTTGGTACATTGGTTATGTGCTTGATTTTGCTCTAAGAGGTTAGAGATCGAACTTCAACTAGCATATTATTTTTGCAAATATTTGACAAAATTTATTTAGTTAAAAATTGTGATGAAGTAGAATTTAATTCAGGACTTTTTCTAACTTAAGACTCAACAAAACCAATAGACTAAAGCTATTTCTTGTCTAGAAGTATGATAATTAAAGTTAATATTACCTTCCTTCTATAAATTTCGACACCGCTTACAAAAATTCTTGTGTACGCACCTGAGCATAAGAGTAATCGCTCCTTCTCTGTATTTTAATGAATATTACAATTATTTACTTATACGGATTTAAGTTATGCCCTGATAGTATAAAATCAGTGAATTTTAACATGTGAAAGTAGTTTAGTTATCATTTTACCAAATTACCAATTAGAGTGGAAGTATATACATCGTTAGCATAAGGAATTTTTACATCATCTGGCCGTCTTTACCTCTTTACCTGTGATAGCAACTAACCTGTCTTGCATTATTTTATAAGATTACAAATCAACATTTTAAGGAGCCTTTCTATAGATATCTTTTGGTGACCTGATAGTGTAAAAAATTCGGATAACTAGTTAGTTGTCATTTTTACGAGGTTAACAATTAATGCTTATTAGAAGATTTACATGTAATTACCTAATAAAAGACCTGATTTTGCAAGTATTGTTTACATCGTCCATGCATAGAATTTAAACTCTAACTTATAATGTACTATATTTTCAGTAGCAGTGTAGGCACACTAGTATTTTGCACCCACTAGCTTAAAATCCTGAATCCGTCTTTGACAATGCAATGACCACTTGCTCTGTTTGATTCTCTTGTATGGGCTTTGGTTGATGACTAGTTTTGATTTCTAGTTGTGTTGGTGTGGAGCTTAGATATTTCTCTATTTGTTGCGTCCTTTATAGTTCATTAGTGTTGTAGGCGGAAATTTTGACTTTGCCTCTGAGAATTGGTATTGAAGTTTGCTGTTATAGCTCTGTCTGAATGGTTTTGATTATTGAACCGTATTAATTTAGCTTGTTGTGAACCACTTTACCATTATGTGGTCACTAACCTTTTTGTTGTGTTTGGGCTACTGTCACAACAACAATAATTGCTTCAGTTCCAACTTCCAAGCAAGTTGGGTTCCGGGATTCTGGCACATCCAGATGATGCACCAAATGAGCTAGTAGTATATCATACAGAAACAATCTTTTGCTTGGTGTGTTTTATGAGCAAGAATGGTCAACTTGTAGTTATCCAATTATCTATTGCTATGATAAAGATTCTTAAATTAAAAAGCATCAGCAAGAAAAGGACATGTACATGCCCAAGATACTCCTCGTATCGTATGTGCTCTAATTGCTTGTGAACCTTATGAGGCAGTATCGTTCTTTTTTAATCTCTTTCTCATTTCACTTCTATTTTATGTGTGTTCTGCTGAATCTGGTTGGATATCTACTTGCTTTATTGGGCCAGTTTATGGAACTATACATAAGTTCTGTCAATGATATGTATCTTGTATTGTAATTAACGTAATTCAATGCAGAATCATGGTTCTCTTGACTCACTTGCACCGGCCAAACTCATTGTGGATAAAAATCTGAGCACTGTTGATTCATCTTTGTTATTTGAAATTGATCATACAGTGAAGAAGTACGCTGATAGTCTTCTATTTGCAATAGAGAGCGTGAGTGCTCGACTATCACAAATAGAAACTAGAAGTCACCAGATTGAAACTTCTCTTGATGACCTCAAGCTTTCTGTTGATACCAACCATGGGAGCACTGACGGAAAACTGAGACTGGTGGAAAATATTTTCAGAGAGGTATCATCTTTCATATAACTTCTATATGTTTTGACTAAACTGCTCTATGAGCTGGGTAAGTGTAGGCTGCATTGTTTTATCCTTTGTTGATTATATATGAGCTTCTTTTATTTATATATTTATTTTTTACGGATTCTTGCCCATTTTTACACTAATTTTAGGAAAATTGCACTTTGCTTCTTGTATTACTGGCTCATCTTTTTTTTTTTTTAAATATCTTTCTCCGAGAGCAATACCCTTTGCATAAATATACTCTTATGTCTGCTGAATAAGTTTTGGGTAGTTTCCTTCAGTGTTGTCAAAGGCGCTCTAGGTCTATCTGAACTTTAAGCGTAAAGCGCACTTAAAGTGTGGGCTTTAGTTTAAAAAGGCGCAATGAAGGAAATAAATAAAAATTTGTATGTAATTCAAGAACAAAGTAACAAATTCATTCATAATGTTTACCTTAGCAGCTAATACACTTATTTCTGATTATAGTTGTTGTTTAGTGCTGCTTGATTCAAGAGAGAACTCATGGGCAATGAGGCGCACACCTTAGTACCTTGCCTTACATTGAAGCGCAACTAAAGCGAGACGAAGCCGCCTCCTTAAGTTTTTCTGAGCTTCAGGGCTTGAGCACGCCTTAAATGAGCCTTTGACAACACTGGTTTTCTTGTTGTTTTAATTAGCTTTTACGTTTCTCTATCTAAGGCATTTCAGCATGTAGGTGTGGGAGAATATTGGTACAATTCAAACCCACGCAAGGAGAGAATGCTATTATTAAGTAATGTGTCAGAAGTAATTCTAGATTTGAGCTATACAGATGTTCTGACAACTGTACTAGTGTCTGCTGCGTAGACAATACTATGCTATTTATGTTCTAGGCTGACTTTCTGGAAATGAATCAATGTTATCAACAACTGTTGGACTTTCTGGAACTTTTTTTATTTGCTGAAGTTGAAAGAGGATATTCTGGGTGTTCCCTATTATGGAAGGGAAGAATCATTCCGATGGCATGTCGAATGAAACTTATCATAAGGTTCATTTGGTGATTGCTTGATGAATTATTAACTTGCTTTTATATCTGTTTCAAAGTAGATTGAAAACTCTAACCGATAAAAAGAATAAAAATAATGAAATATTTACTAAAAGGGCTAAAAAAGAAGAAGATAAAATTTTACATGTTTCCCTTTTCTTTTTGTATCATCTCTTTACCCGAAAAACGGATAGAGTTGAATTTGTACGTAGTTCTAAGGATATGTGATATAGCTTAATACAAATCGTAAGGATAAATAGAAATATCAAATACGGACTGCAAACAATGCAAAATAAACGAGGTTGGAAAGAAGATGATTTTTAGGACTAAGCAAGATGAATCAATTTATGAAGCTTAAAAGAATAACTCTTCAATATAGGGGTATATGGTACATGAGTTACAATGTAAGGAAAAAGTTGTCCTTTACAGAAATATAGCCATCCTCTTTATAGTGGAGAATCCTACTTTTAGATATAATTAAAAATATATAGTGGGAGACCCATGATAAATCAGCTTTTCCATAATTCCTGCCAGGATTTTCTCCTCTAGTGGGATTGCAACGGCTCTTATCTGTGAGCTCGATATTGACTCGAGTTTTCGATCTTGACTCGAGCTCTAGATCTTGACTTGAGCTCGATTCTGACTCGGATCCCTGTATTGATTCGGGGTCAGTGTTGGTCGGTCTCTAAATCATAAGCTCGATAACTTTACTTTGCATCATAGTTCGACTTGGGTTCGAACTTGATAATAACATCGAGCTCGACATTGATCGGTCCTTCAGGCTCGAAGCTTGGTGACCTGACTTCGGACCTCAACTTGATATTACGAAGACGCTTCTCCGATCCAATGTATTACCATTTAAACCAGTTCGTACGAAGGACTAACCGTTTTTTACCGTATACAGATAGTTTCCTCGTTTCTCGAGAAGGATGTAGCGAGAAACGACATGATTTCACAACGGCTCGATCATATATAAGCTGACGTTCACATTGGGCTCGATCATGACGCACGTGATAGCTGTCCCGTCGGTTTAGTTTTTCAAGGCAATTAATGCATGTCAGACGGTGGTCGGCCACCGTTGATATTGAACCGCCATTGCTCAGCCTATAAATATCCCATTCTTTCACCATTAATCACTTTTACATCTTCTAATATCAAAATTTCCTAAGCATTTTCTCATACCTTGTGAATTAAGTGCGAAGTTTTCTTTCTGTGGTTTTTACTGCAAAATCGTTCTTTGAAACACCACATCTTCTTTATTTCTTTCTTCTAAATTCAAAAAATAGTGAAAACATAAAAAATCGTCCCTCAAAAAGAAGAGGCTTCTTCTTCACAGCCCGCCGCCGATAAAACACCGATGGAGCCACGGCCTGAGGAGTTTGTTCCTGGAATGTGTCTTCTCACCTCTGATTTTAAGGTCGATAAGGGCTCGTTGGTTCCCGGTCGGTGTGAGCCGGTATCGATATATTTGTACTCGATAACCAAAAAGCAACTTGCACAGTTAAAGACAGATTGCAACTGGGATAACAAGAAAGTGGTAATTCCGGCTTCCGATGAAGATATTACTACCCACGTGGAAGGGTTCCTTAGTGTGTATACTTACCCTTTTACTTTAGGACCTTTCGACCCTGTTATCACCGATTTTTGTCGTCGATACCGAATAACTCTAGGTCAGATTCATCCTTCTTTTTGGCGGATCGTTATCCTGATCCGTTTCTTTGCAAGCAAGATCGAGGGGATGTCTGTCACCCTCGATCGTCTTATTAGATTGTATAGTCCCCGCTTCTTTCGAGGTGGACTAATAAAACTTCAACGCCAGGCTACTAAGGTACTGTTATCGAGCATAAATAAGGACAAGGATCGAGGTTGGATGGGCATGTTCGTTCGAGTGAAGACTTCGGACCTGATCCCAGCCGAAAAGATGCCATTCCCCGAAGAATGGAATATGAAGCGTAAGTGTAATTCTGCTGCTTATTCCCTATCACCTTGTGTCTTTGTTTCTTTCTTGCTGATATCTCTTTTGTGATGCAGCGGTTCCTTGGATGCCCGGTGCCGTTCTCGATCTTAAGAGCTGGGTACGGGCCCTGGCTTCGATCTCTACATATGCCGAACATTCGTGGCGTGATTTGGCAAAGGGCCGATGGGAGGCCAAAAATCATGGTAAGCCTATTTCTCATGTTTTGAGAGTTCGAACGAAATATTTTCCACATATTCAACTGATTTTCTTGTGTGTAGGCCTGGGCAGAGATACGGTTTTGAGGCCCCAGCCCGGTGAGGAAGAAACCTCGGGCCCGGTTTCTAAACCGACGGAGAGAAATAAGAGAAAAAGGGCCTCTACTCCCAAAAATCCAAAACCAAAGGCAAGGTCGACTCGTAAGTCGAGGAAGAATACCATCCCTTTGACCTTAGAATCGGTTCACCGTCTAAGAGATGAAGACGAGGAAGAGGAAGATGACGGGTCCGTACAGGTGGCCCGATCGAAGAAGACCACTCATGTTCCACAGACAACTGGATCGATTGTGGTTTATAAGGCTCTGCCTCGAACTGAGGATATATCAGAGAAAGATTCGGGCAGAGTCCCCGAGTCGTTGGAGTTCGAGGATGCTTCCCATCGAAGCCAACGGATGGGGGATATGTCTGAAGGGGCTCTCCCCGAATCTCTTCGAACCGAAGAGAATGCCCCAAGTGACTTACTTGGGGAAGTAACAATCGAAGACTCGCCCATCTTTCCTGCTTTTTCTGAAGGGGAAATTCGGGAAGCCCAAGCTTTGGGGGCCCTCGAACTAGACAGGCCTCATGAGGGAGAGGATCCTTTTTGTGACATGTTTATCGGTGTCGAAGACGCTGCCGGCACTAGTGATGCATCTTATCTTTTTCACGGAGTGCACCAGGCTTTGAATCAGGTAAGCCTTAAATTATTTTGTTGGTATTATCTCTTGTGTCTGTTTTTCTTTTCTTACTTTGTTTCTTCTTTCTTCTTAGGCCGTGGTAGCTCGTCGAGAAGCATGTTCTCGATCCTGAGCTGAGCTGCATCAATATGAGGCCGATACAAAACGGGCCACGGAGGAGAGGAAGGCCCTTAAACTCCTCTTAGGGAAAAGGTGAAAAGAAATCAAGGACCTCCGAGCTGAGTTGGCCAAAGCACACCAAGATTAGACCGATCTGTCCGAGCAGGTAATGACACTACTAAAAGCCTATGGACTCGATACTGGAACGATGGCTAATCTTTCGGTCTCACAGCTGCAGCAGAAGCTTGATATGATCGGGAAGCTTCGTGAGGAGGTCGATGTGATAAAGGTGGAGTCCTTGAAATGGAAAGAAAATATGGACCGCTTTGCTACAAAGAAAGAGGCTACTTGAGCCCAATTATCATTGGCCGAAAATCAACTTCAAAGTCTGAAGGAGAAAAGCTTGGTTCAAGCAAGGAAAACAGAGGAGCTCGAGGCTCGGTTGGCTTCTAAACTTGCCAAGGCTGAAAAGACAAAGGATGATGCAGACGCATTTATGGCTGTTTATCGGGCCGATGTTGAGGCCGTTTAGTCGCATGCGATAGAAGTAGCCGAGACCGCTCGATCTCGAGCACAATGGATTGCCGAATTTGCCAAATTCCAATCTCAGAGGGAAACCCTCGAGGAGATCCATGCTCGAGGCTTCGATCTTACTGAAGAGATAATAAAGGCAAAAGAGCTTGAAGTCGATGTTGGGGCCTTAGTCTCCGATGATGATGATGACGATGATGATGATGGGAGCAAGAGCGGGTCTCAGAGTGGGGGAGCAGCCCGATGGAGAAGAGACCGCCCCCGGGGATAACCAAGAAACTTAACCCTTATTTTCCATTTCGGTTCTTGCAAACAATCATGTAAACAATCTTGTAGATATATACAAATATCTTTTCTTTTCCCGTCTTGCCTCTGTTTTATTTTCTATTTTGTGAAGAGTTCTGTTTATTTATGTCTCATGAATGTTTTCATAAGGCTTTACGAAA